GGAATTTTGGAAAGACCCAAGGTGCATTCAGTCTGTAACAATATGGTATGCTACTTCCCATGGTTTTTTTTTTTTTTGAGGACCTGAAAAATTTAATTCTGAGACTCCACAATTACAGTGTGAAAACACTCCATTTTCTTATTTTTCTTTGAGACAGGGCCTTAGGCTGTTGCCCTGGGTAGAGTACCGTGATGTCATAGCTCACAGCAACCTCCAACTCCTAGGCTTAAGTGATTCTCTTGTCTCAGCCTCCCAAATAGCTGGGACTACAGGCACCCACCACAACACCCATCTATTTTTTGGTTGTAGTTGTCATTGTCATTTGGTAGGCCTGGGCTGGATTCAAATCGCCAGCTCTGGTGTATGTGGCTGGTGCCTTAGATGCTTGAGCTACAGGTGCCAAGCCACTCCATTTTCCAGAGATTCAATTCTCAATAGTGATTTCATTTCTCAAACACTCAAATCAAGTTAGCTTAAGGTTCTGACCTGAGATGCCTTTTTTTAAAACCACTTTTCACACAAAATGTGTGGAATTTGCTGAACACCAACATATTCTCAAATTTCATATGGTTGTTTGATAAGTCAATTCTGACTCCAACTTGAGTTAGCACAGGTCCCACAGATTCAAGGCACAGTTTCACAACTCTGGCCCCACTGTGGAAGACAGTCATTACCCAACAAATTTATCTCCATGCTGACAGATTCATAGTTTTTAATGAGCCAGTTGCATACATAGGATATCAAGATTTTACCTTTAATGAAAATTAATCATTAAATATTGTGAAAAACATTACTGATTCCATATGCTGGAGAAGATGCATGTGTAGTTTCTTTTCAGAAAGCATTACCATGTTTTATTATTGTCATTATTATTATTTCAATGGTATGCCTTTTTATTCCAAATTAGAAGCTCGCAAGTAAAACAGCTGTCAACTGGGGGAAGAATAATTTTTAGTGCATTATATAATAGCATCTTATGGTACCTTGATAAACTGAAGCTGTTATAAAAAGTATTTCCATAGATAAAAATGAAAATAATTTTTGGTTAATTACATATGAGAGGAATAGTAATTAATCTCTCAAAATTGTTTCTATTAAATACATCTACCAACACGATGAGACATTTGTTTCCCATGTAGCAAGAACTATCGGGATAAACTTACCAAATTAAAATAATGATATTTTGCCTTGTCAAAGAGGTTTCATACATGAGGTATACTACAAGGCATATTTTATTTATTTATTTTTTCTCCATGTTTTAACTCAGAAAACTAAGTCTCACAGACAGCAGACAAGGAAAGCTGGCATTTGAGCCCAAACTTAACCAAACATCAAAGTCCTTTCCAAAATTCAAAGCAGCCTTCTCAACAAGTATTAATCAATCTTAATGGAATAATTTTTTAAAAACTTTATATTGTATAGTGATTTATTATGATTACTACAGAATTTCTGTTTTCTCTTTTACTATTTCTATAGATCTTGTGATATTAGGAAAAGTAGTATATATTTAAAAACATTTTCTCTGCTTCAGTTTCTAGATAAGTTACGAAATTTGAACTGGCATATATTCATGCCTCTTATTATTTCCTTTATTGGATTAGGTACATATCAGTGTGTGGAGTTTCAGGATTAGGAAAAAATTTGCTTCAAAATTTCCTACTTTTGGCAGGATGTAAATTGAACTATGAGTTTAAGAATCACTGTTTTCTCTTACCCTGTGTTTGACTCAAAACTATACAAATATAATGAGTATTGCCGGCGTTAGCTTGGAATTTTTACTTACACATTATGGCAAAATGGAAAGACACATACTTTTATGTCATTCTCTATGTTAGCAATTTATACAAAGCTTTAGTTATGCAGAGGGCCTGTAGCTTATTACAGCTTTTTGACAGCCGATGAAGATAACTCAATATGTGTGTCTGGCTACGTTTTATAGGGCATATTATTAATCTAAAATAGGTTGGTTCTGAATGTTGCTCATAATCTCACAGCATAGTTAATCATATAAATGATAAGCTAGAAAAATTCAAGGCATTATTGATTTCTGATATTCATCAAATGGCTTTTGCTTTAATTTTTTTCAAGTTTTATTGGTTTTTTCTTCATTGGTATGTATTTCTTCAGAATAATTGTTTCCTTTCATCTTTAGTAAATAAAGTTCTTTTTATTTTCCTCAATAGTACTGATTTAAAAGATTGGCTGTGTTAGATATTTCTGCTTTTTACTGTGGCACATTGGTATACTTGGTTTATGAAATTCTTTATGATGGAAAGAGTATAGGCATTGGAGTCAAGTAAATGTGTGTCTGGAAAGGACCATTTAAATTAATAAATCAACATTATAACATATATAACAACCTGATGTGCATATGATTAGTTTGAGTTAGAGGCTACTGTTCTTTGGATATACAGACTTAAATTTTTGAACTTACAATATGTATTGAGGTCTAAATACTGTTATTTACAGATCCATTTCACCTTATTATTAATTATGTGATGACTGTGGTGTCACAGGTGCTAAGACACAGGTATGAGGTATGGCCCCTTTTACCATCCTACTGCCCCAAGTGCATTTAATCGTATTTATGTGTTTAATGCACTTAATGTGGTATTTAACTCTATACTTGTCCACTCAGGTATTTATGATATATTTCTCAATTCTCAATAAGTTTGAGGAAATCCAGGCTGTTACTAATGAGAATTGTAGTTTTAGGTATTTTTTGTGGTATCAAGGTTTTGTCCATTCATAGGACACATTGAGTTTATTTCTTCAAATCTATGTTGAACCATTTTTTGCAGACAAAGGAAATGTGATTAAATTAAAGGGTATGTGTTTAGTACTGGCTTTTACGTTGATCTGGTATATAAATGAAAGGCAAAACATAAGTGCTTTCTTTCTCTATTTCTCCAGAGGTGAGGATTGTTGTGACTACCTACCTGCTGATGTGTTTTTAAAAAAATTGTAATATTTAAATATATTAATGAATATCAGAAATATCCCATCTGTTATGAGGGCGTAGTGAGTTTTTTGTTTCACATAGACTTTAAGTTTCCTACGAGGAATGGATTTGTATCTTACTCAGTTTCTTGATTCACAATTTCTATCAATATATATTTGCCATGTAGAATGTAAGCATTGGTTAAGTTAAACACTTGTCTTTGTATTTGATGAACTTTTTAGAATAATCTTATCTTTTGCTTTCCATTGCTTTTAATCTAATTTTATTAAATTTCTTTTTAGAGACATAGTCTTATTTTGTCGCTCTCAGTGGAGTGCTATAGCATCACATCTCACAGCAACCTCCAGCTCTTGGGCTTAGGCGATTCTCTTGCCTCAGCCTCCGGAGTAGCTAGGACTACAGGCGCCTGCCACAACGCCTGGCTA